CTGTGACCATCCAACCACTTCCTCCCTGAAAGAGATGAAAAGGTGGCGCTCTGGAAACTCACCCTCGCGCTGTTTCAACTTGTCCAGGTACTCGTCCTCGAGAATCGGATGGAAGAAGAATGGGGGCTCTCCATTCGGGAAGTGCACCCACCACCCTTCGCTGTCTAAAGCGAGTTGACTCGAGGTCGCCTTTACCTTGGACACTTGGTGTAGTTCGCGTCTAAACTGGTCTGTTTCGCGCTTGAGCTTGGTTCCAATTTCGAGGTGACGGGTAATCGCATCTTGCAGTTGTAGATTGTCTCTATGCAGCGCCGCCCTCTCGATCGTAACTCAGTACAAGGCTGCACTCGTGGATTCTGGAGATAGCTGATGCAGAGTCGTTTGTGCCTTATAAAGGAGCTGCTCCAAGACATTTTCCAGACGCTGTATCTCGTCACGGATGGTAGCCAGCTTTTCCTTTCGTTGGTGGCGCCAGCGCACCATACGTCGGCGCTGCACTTTGAGGCGAAACTGCTGACTTTTTAAAGCCTCCAAGGCCGTCTCGATTAGGTTGGCATGGTCTGAGTACTCCATGGTTCAAGTTTGTAGAGTGGTGTTGAGCAGTTTGATGAACAATGGCGAATAACTTGACGAATGACAAGTAAAAAAAACATTGACGTTAATAATAGGTCACTACAAGAGCAATAACGCAAATTGGGATGTCATGGACCGTCTCACTTGACTCGGATGGTAAGTCCGTGATGTCCGCTGAAGTCATGCCAGGATGCGTTATGTCGTCCACGTTCTGTAACAGACGGGAGAGAAGAGGAATGGAGGCCAACATTTCGTTATCATTTTTTGTTTATTACATGAATGAATGTCAGTGTTTTGGGAGAGAGGAGTCGTCGGTGAGTAATAAACGCTAGAGGATGCGTATACGCATGTTTCACCATACCGGTATAGCAAAGTAGGTAAGAAAAAATAGCAAGCATCATTTCCTGAAGCAAACCCTACATTTTCTCACGTTTAACTTCTAGCAACAATAAGAGGGCTCATACAAAAAGCGTAAGAAACGGATGACCTCTTCATTTGATTACCATCGAGTAACATTTAATTCATGAATTCACTGAGCGCCAACAATGACACCAGAGACTGAAGCCGGAATTCGCTTAGCATACGAGACGAGCCGAGCCCAACATCGGTATTTCGTGGGCTCTATATTAGCCGGATCACTTAGAGTAGCCAATCAACAAGCTCTATTTGAGTACTGAGCCGATTTTTTTTAGTGGAGCCGGGCTCTCGAAGATAGCGGGCTTGTTAGCAAATCGGGGGCCCGGACTGGGGCTTGAAAGGAAGTATGTCATTCGATTAGCAGACGCAACACAATGTTGTGGGTTCTACTTTAAATTTGGATGATCGAGTCGAGGGCGAATCAATCATATAGAATATCTTAGGCGATATTATAATGGTGTTTTCGACTTCCTGTCAGCTCATGCCAAGATCATATGGGTACGTTTTCTATAATAAACGCTGTTGATGTGAGTTGGCGACTGAATGAACCATTCCTGTACTTCACGTTCCTAAATAAAACCGGAATTGACAGCTAGGTCGTCTGCGACCTCCACTCGGAATGCGTATACAGCTTTTTTTTTCGAATTGGGCGCTGTTTTCTTTTCAAGTTTTGGTAGGTTTAATTTAATTTATGAAAGTCTTTCCCGTGGCTGTATAACTATCAATGGACTCATCATGTATATCAACGGGCTCATCATGTATGCTGACTAGCAGAAATTCAAGCTATTGTACATGTATATAATTCATTTAGAATGGTATTTTACGAAAGTGTATACGTTGAATTGAGCAAAGGTTTAAAAAGGCGGAGATGTTCCGCCTGACCTTTGGCCTTGGGGAAGGATTCTGGCTGTACCGGTACAGATAGGAGGAATGTAGAATGAAGTGTTTGACAATTTGGCAGAACCCATTAGACGCTGCTCTTGTTCGTTGGCTGGGCTACTACTTCAATCTACGCTTCGTTAGGCTTGGTCGGCTTACCGGACGAATATGAGAACATCTGTATGAATGACACTCTGGGAAACTAGTAAGTAAATGCCAAATTGTATATTTTTCAGAAGGTATCTCGCCAAAAGAGTCTACTCGCCTCTTTTTGTCTATTTCTGAAGCAAACGGGTCGGTGCAATGTGTTCCTCCATACAAAGCACGAAGCGAATCCAATCAACATAAAGTTCCCACCCGTGCGCCTCGCTCAGGCACTCCGATCACTGATCATACACGACATCTACCGTACTCTCATCCACTTCTGTCCATATGCAGACTCTCCTCCTTGAAAAACCCACTTGACGTCACTCTGCGATCCTGCCGCTTCTCGACTGCGTGCGTTTGCTTCAGAGTCCACGATCATGATGCAGTGCTTAGCCATCTGTCTCCCATCTGGGAGTACTGACACCCTGTTTTGCACGGCAGCGATGTACC